AAACTATAAGAGTCTTCAATTGCAATGTTTTAGTATGTTTTAATTTTAAATGCTTGAATGTGTTACATTAGCAGCTGTTTTCTGTAGAAACAATTGGTTGTGTTGCATCTATTAATTCATAGATAATATAGCCTTTTTGTCTGTGTTTATATCATGATATGTTGTCACCTAATGTACTTCTGTGCTATTGGCTTAATGATCCTACTTGAATGGTCTATGTTACTAGTCATTCATTTATAGAAGGTGTTTGTGAGTTTTTCTACTTTTATTAATGTGCAGACCTTGATTCTGTAGCTCAGAGTATCGTGAAACGGCGGTTCAAAGTCTATTGGGATATTCTCAGCTTTGTAAATTGCAGTAACTACTTAATTGATGATTTTGAAAGATCATGCAGCTTTATCATCACCCGTATTCCTTGGACAGCCAGAAGGTGAGGCTTGCTCTGGAAGAAAGAGGCGTCGATTACACGTCATACCATGTCAATCCCATCACAGCCAAGAATATGGACTCATCCTTCTTTCGGATGAATCCAAGTGCTAGACTTCCTGTTTTCCAAAATGGTTCCCACATCATATTTGACACTATAGAGATAATTCAGTAAGTATCGTACCATTGACATTTACTTTTCATGGTGAGGGGGGAGGGGGGGGGGTTGTTTGAAAAGAATATCCTAAACAAGGTTAGAGTGAAAATCCATACCTGTGCTCTGTACTTTCCAGTTGCCCTTCCCAAGTGGCCTGAGGTTTTAGTGTGCCAACTCCTGGTCTGGAATTGGGACATTAAAAATAATTAGTATTATTATCGCAGTTTAATCAGAAGTGTTTCGATCAAATTTCATTTCATTTTAGTAAAAAAATTCAATTCTATTCTAACATTTAAACCTACTTGTTACCAAACATCATAATGATAATACTTATTCCATTTCATTTCCCATTAGTAAGGGTGGCACGAAACGTATCTAGTTTGGGAACAGTAAGTGAACCAAAAAAAAAAAAATTGTACAAACCATCAAAGAAACTCCTCTCCCAATAGTCCAAAGATGAAAATCTTTGCAATATTCTGAACCGATCAGTCGATCATGAGAATGACAGTAAATAGCATCAAGATTGAAGGGAAGCCAAAAACAAGGACAGATCACAAATTTTGGAAGTCAACTATCCCATTCCAAATATGCTTGACTTCACCCACTGGATGCTGCAAAAAACTAGGAGAGAGAGTTGAGTTTCCAATGCAATAGACTGATAACTCAAACTACTTAAACATATACAAGAGATGAAATGTAAGATGTAATTGCTTCCAAAAGACCAAGTCTACTCAACTAAGAGGAAGTAATAATATAGGCTGGCTTGACAACCAATTCATACAAAGAATAAGTTCAACTTGCACATCCACTTGCCAAAACTATGTATAATATATATATGTCTGAAGAATGTGCATACACAGAGAACAATCCACACTGAGAGAGAGAGAGAAGAAACATTTCAGCCACCACAATGGATTTTTGCAGGGAAAAATGAGTGTGGCAGCAAATGTAAATGGAGTTTTTTTACCAAAATCAGTTCAAGAAAATAATTCCCAAAAAGGGTAGTTTTTGACTTATTTCCCAAAGTTTTGAAAAAGTCAATCCAATTGATGTCTTTAAATTTTCTACAAAATTTAAAAACGTTAGTTTGACTGACGTTTCCTTAGAATTGATTGGATAAAATTGCAAAAAATATGGCAAATGAGGTGAGAAAAGATCACGGAGAAGATGGATATTTATGGGATCAGATAACATCTTTTTTTAGAGGAATTCAATTTGAAGTCAAACATGTTTTCAGATTGGCTAATAATGTAGCCAATTTTTTGGTTAATGAGGGAGTAATTGACCAACGTTTCTAACTCTATTACAATAAATAAGACTTTCCAACTCAAGGCAGACTACTCATCTTGCAAGATCAACTTTAGTTTCGAGATTTNTGAGGGAGTAATTGACCAACGTTTCTAACTCTATTACAATAAATAAGACTTTCCAACTCAAGGCAGACTACTCATCTTGCAAGATCAACTTTAGTTTCGAAAATTAAGGAAGAGATTTCCAGGAAGAGATTTCCATGATCTTAGCTTTTAGGATTTTATTGTTTTCATTTTCTTGTAACGATTACATGCATTTTTATTTTATTTTTACTCTTCCCACCCTTACCATCATCACTCTCTCCTCTCTTAGCCAACTTATGACGGTGGTGCGTTCTGCTGCAATGCCTGCGGTGGCACAGGCAAGGCGGCAACGCCTTTATCTTCCATTGTTCCATCTGCGAATTTGATCTCCATGTCAATTGTGCTGTTCTTCCGGCAACAATGACTCACAACGACCACAACGACCCCCACGAATTGGTTCTCTCGGAAATGAAAAACGAGAATGAAATACCTTGCTCAGGTTCTGATCAAGACCTTTCAGGTGACTATGCTACCCAATTGAACTGCAAAGCCATAAAAGAAAGAACAGAGAAGCAAAAAGAACAGGAAAACTAGAATCTTGCACCCCAACAAGTGGCACAGCGCCAAATTCTATTATGTGCTCAATTTCTTGCTCAAATGAATATCGAAACTGCACAAGCTGGTTGCGATTTAGCAGGATCTTCCAGTGTGAGGAGATACTACTACTACAAATGAAGAGGTTCTTTAACCAGTCTTTAAGTTCGCTTCTGGTTCTTTTTTACGTTGGGTTTAATGTTGTTCATTTGTCTTCTAATGAACTGCTGTGGTCACAGAATGTTCAATTTGTCTTCCCCTAATTGGAGCGTTAATATAAGAGTTTCATATAATTCTGTTAAAGCTTCTATTCTAACATTGCAACATCCTTATGCATATGTCTACCTAACAGAATGTATTGAAAAAGGTTTATGTTTAACATGAAAGATGGATCAGGGAATAAGAAATTTCTGCAATCAGAAACAAAATTTACAATGCTTAGTGAACCCGGTTTGAATCCAAATGTTAGCAAAATAGGCATTTTTAATTCTCCTGAGTGGCTGCCGTAGGAAACATCAAAATAAAACACCACACGACTTGAAAACACCACCAACAGATTCAAACAATGGTAGAAATGTACACACACAATGCACTTACCAATTTCCACCCATGTTTGCAAGCTAATAGGGTTACAATTACCAACCCCACCCCTCCTTTAAGAGCCCCCTAATGCACAAACTAGACCTTTCCACAACCTCCAATC